AACCCAACTCTTGGTTTCATCTTTCCAAATCTATAGAGCTTTAAATTTGACTCCTTCTTCTTCTTCTTCTTCATCACCTCTATATATACAAAATCATGCCTTTCCATTATTAACTCTCTACAACTAATTCAACCTCTCCAAGGCCTTTGAGGATCTAATAACCGTAAGGTTTATATTCTTATATCTATGATTCATTCTCTGTTTGGATGCTAGGACTTTGTATTTTGTATTCCATTTTTGTTTTCACTATCTCCGAACATGAATGATGTCAATTTAGCTTTTGAATTTCGTTTGATGATTAGACCGTTCATAGGAACGATTTCGAGTATTGTAGTTGGAGATTCGAATCTCTTCTATTGTGCATTTCGCTTTCTATATTAGTTTCTAGCTTGCATCTATTGATTCTGAGTATGAAGGATTTTGATTTAGTTTTTGAATTTTGGCTATTGATTTGATCATTCAAAGAATTAGAACTTAACCTTTATGTTATTTGCTTTCTGTGCGCATTCATTTTGAGATTCTTTTGCTTTTAATTGATGAAATCAATGTTAGTCTTGGAGTAGAAGATTAAGAGTGAGTAGATCCTCTAATTTGCTTATGAATCATGTAAATTGGAAATGTCCATCAGTGTCCCTCTAGACATGACTAAACTGGATTATCTTGGTAGCAAAGAGAACCTTAACATTGAAAAGTCCTTCGATGGTTCTAGACTTTATATGAAAAACTTGTTTTTCTCAATCACCTTCACTAAAACTCAAGCTACTAAACCTGGAGAAAGATCCTGCTTGCTTTTGTCTCTAGGAAGGTCAACCTATCAATGCTAGCCAGAAGAAGTGGATGGTTAGAGCTAGGAGCGACGAACCCAATGCCTAGGTTCACGACAAACCCAGCACAAAGGCTCCAGAGGATAAAACAGAAGGGGGAAGAAGATGGGGACAAATAAGTAATAAAAGTCAAGTCCTTTTAATCGCAAAATAACTTTTAAAATTTTTATAATGATAATTATGTAATTAAATGATTTTCAAGGTTATATTAGACAAAAAAAAATTTGATCATGTCATCAACTTTTGTCAGATAGAGTTTTCCACATAATTTAAGTAAAAAAAAAAGTTTTTTCATTAATTAACATGTTATATCAATTAAAACTTAATGAAAGAATTAAAAAGGGATTGGATTTCAAATTCTAAGGATCAAAAAGGGGATTTAATCAATTATTAAATATAAATATTGATTATTTTATATATTATTAATTAATAAATATAACTATAATCTTTTTTTTTTATAATTAAAGTAAACATACTCTAATTTTGTTATAATCTTAACAAATTTTTATACAATAATAATCACAGCTAAAAAGAGAAAAAGATTATGGGTTATCATGCCAATGTGCCAGAGGTTAGTACATTGAATTTCTCACCTCAAGGAGTATTTTCGTATGGCTTACCTTTTTCTTTAAAATAATAAGTTTAGACAAATCAATGACTTATTGATTTGAGTGTAAGAAATTCAGTTCCCTTTAAATAAAATCTCGAGTTCAAGTTTTATGAATAAAAAAATAAGTATTGAGAGAGATTCTCTCCATATGAGGTCCAACTTTATCTAATTTTAAATTAATTAAAATTCAATATAATTTTTAAATACTAAATTAATACCAAAAAATTAAAGTTACACAGCTTTTATATTCAAAATCCCACATGTTGGTACATGCTTGATAACAAAATTTAAAAAATTCTTGAAAAACGAAAACACGACAAGATTTTAAAAGTAAATCTTTACCTACTAATTTTAAATGGGAAAACTCAATAGTCCCTATACTTACACCCTCTTTCGAAATTAAGCCCCTAGAAGTTCAACTGTTGTCAATTTAGCTCTCCAACCATCTAGAAAATAACAATCACAGCATCACCCACAACTGACGCAAAAGGGAAGAACCTTTTCCTCTGGGGCTAGGAAAATAATGATACATTTTGTGCAACAACCCTTTCCTCTAGGGTTTCTCGATATTAATAGGTTAACCAGGTCCAAACAACACATTGGTAGTATGTTAGGGTGAGTATTAGTGCGTCTATGTTGTAGTAGGTGATCAAGAGGATGTGTTTTCACTCCTAGGGCTAGGAAGCGTGCAAGCGGATGTGGTGCAACTTTGATTGGGCAACGTTCCACTGTACTTGCAATTCCCAAGGGTGATAGCGAGAGTTGGGCTGGGTATTGGTTTGATCAATCATTGAACCAAAAAAATTATTGGTTAACTAAATTCTTTCAATAACCATCTTAGGAACTGAACTTGAACCAAATT